AAGCAGCTCAGCGGGAATCATATACTAGTTATTAGGGCTGGGGAGTCGATGACAGGTGATGGTGATACTAGCCGCATCACTTCCTTATGTATCACTAGCTACAGAAGCACCTATGACTAAATCACACCAGCCTATACTGGGTTTGGGTGAGCAGGTATCTGACTTTGATACTGTAAATGGGCATATATTAAGAATACTTTTAGCTGTTTTTTGTTAATGCAACGGCTCTGGAGATGGTACCCTATTTTGGTTCTTATAAAAGTGTTTTAAAAAATAGACAAATTATAGTCTGTATATTTTTTATGTTGAATTAAACTCTAACAGCTTCACTCCATCAGTGGTGTGGGAGACCTCCATGCGCTCCATGTCCATAAGCTCAGTGACAACTTTACACTGAGTTCTGACATGCAGAAGACACCATTCCGTAGATAATCCAGGCAAGCAAACCGGGACTCTGATTGTTTTCCATAGGCATTTAATTTAGATTTAATAGGATGTGTATTTTATGATAGCTGAATGCTAATTTTTAGATAAACATTTATTGCTGTTTAACAGCTTTGTAACAGATATGCCCATATCTAAGAGCATATATAAGAGAGAGATCTGTTACATAGCAGTTATATCTCAATAAATATATTTTAGGTAATCAATGAGTATTTAATGTGCAATAACTGTCTTATTAAATCTAAATTGAATGCCTGGCTTGGAAGCTGCAGGCTGGCTCTTTCAGTCATATACACATGCATGCTTCACTGCAGAGGTTATAAAGCTGAGTTTTCCCACTGTGATTTGGCAGGAAATTCAGGATTTTAATAAAGCCACCACAAATGGTGGCTTCACTCTGGGGTTTGCTGCCTGCCTGGTCTTCTGCATTGATCCATTGACAGGTTTGATTAAGTGTAAGTTCAAGTTCGTGAGGACTGTGGTTCAGTGGTAGAATCCTTGTCACACAGGAGACCTGGGTTTGATTCCCAGACGCTTATACGACTACATCCATAGAGGCACCAAACATCTGGTTTTTGGATTCTGTCTCAGTGGGTAAAGGGAGGATGGAAGGTCTGGGCAGCCTCCACTCCTCCAAAAAAAATTCCTGCCTAGGCATATGCATCGGAAGTCTGGGTAGACCTCATGCATATGCTGTGATCCAGGAGGATCAACGGTTGCCAAAATTAATCAAGTTTGTGATAAGTGGAAGATGCCACCTACAAGATACTCTCAGCCTTAGCAAGAATCTTTTGGCAACAGATGTTTGTCAATAATTGAGGTATGCAATAAATAGTGATTTAAAAAAAAAAACTATTTATTTTAACACTTTGCCGCAGTAAACAGCTTCTTTGAAGACAAAGGGACCACCAGATTCTGTATAATAAGATAGGGAGGGAGAAGGATTACTTTGGCAAAAGCACTACTAATTGAACAATGTTTCCTAATTTTTTCCCCTGCTCGTTTACTGCATTAATAGTGACATGTACTGGATATAGGCAACCAAATTCAATCTGAAGCAAACAAGCTCAAAAACATTTAAGCTATGAATCACAGCAAATAGTGTTTTAATTTTAAAGGGTTTTTGTAAATGCCAGAAACAAATTAGATTGATTTTTGCATGCTTAATTTTTTTAGTAGTCCACTACTGATACTGGGTGCTTGTGTAACATAAGCCTGGAAACATGCATATTTTCTTTAGAGATGGGAAGAAAATGATTTACCAGTCCTATTAGCATTTTGCCTGTCCTGAGGCAGGACAAAAAGCCAAAATCTTGAAATTTTTTGCAAACCAAAAGTCTCCAAAGGAAAAAAAAAAAAAAGTTTGGGTAAGTCCAAGTATTTCAGTTTGTACAACTTTTTTAAAACTATAAATCAACTTAAATTTTGACCCAGAAAAGGGAACTTTAATTCTGAAAGTATAAAACTTGGTTGTTTCAACAATTTCTAAATACATTTAAGGTTTGGGTTTTTTTTAATAACAGGGAATTCATTTAAAGTAAACAGTTGTGGTTTGGACAAATTTATATTTTTCTTCCCATGACACTGGTGGCCCAGGGTGATAGATTCATAGATGTTTGGGTCTGGAGGGACCTTGGCAGATCATCAAGTCTGACCCCCTGCCCTGGGCAGGAGAGAGCGCTGGAGTCAGATGATCCCAGCCAGGTGCATGTCCAGCCTTCTCTTAAAGACCTCCAAGGTAGGGGAGAGCACTACCTCCCTTGGCAGTCCGTTCCAGATTTTGGCAGCCCTTACTGTAAAGAAATTCTTCCTGATGTCTAACCTAAATCTGCTCTCCATCAGTTTTTGGCTGTTGTTCCTAGTTACTCCAAGGGGTGCCCTGGTAAACAGAGCATCTCCTATTCCTTGCTGTCCCCACCTGAGGAATTTGTAGGTGGGCACAAGATCACCTCTCAGCCTTCTCTTGCAGAGGCTGAAGAAATCCAGGGCCCTCAGTTTCTCCTCGTAGGATTTTGCCTGCAGACCCCTAACCATACGAGTGGCCCTCCTCTGATCCCTCTCAAAGTTGTCCACATCCCTCTTGAAGTGTGGTATCCAAAACTGGACGCAGTACTCCAATCTGGTCCTCTTGCTTGAGTAACAGATCCAGGTCCCTCTTTTCCTTTGTCTCCCTTGCTTTGAGCCCTGATCTTGCAGCAGAAATTCTTGTCAATAATGAGCAGCTTTCACTTTGTACTATTATATTTCATACCATTTCTATTACAGTATCCCACTGCACAAGATTATCTGACTGAATACTCTCTCTTCACATCGAATATCAGTTGTGGAAAGTAAAGATGGGCAAGTGTGCATGAGTCTATGACTCAGACTTGTGCATACGCTGTGAATGTGCAAGTTGGGAGCTCAAACTTTTTAAGCCTTTGAATTAACAGACGTTGTAAACATGGATAAGGAAATTTCAGGACCAAGATCCCAGGGGTACTTATCCCAGTATATTGATTTTAGGTGAGCCTATGCTCAGTTAATCCCACCTCAAAACTTCCCCCGCAGCTTTAATGAGATACAGTGTTTGTCATTATTGCTTCCTGCCCTGATCCACATGCCGTGCCCAGTCAAATTGCTTTGGTGTTTCTCTGTAGAAGGGGGTTTGTTTCTGTGGTGGTTGAAATAATTCTTGTTGATCTCTTGACTACAGAGGTTGTGGGGGGCTTGCAAAATAGATTGTGATGTTTCGTTATACTCCAAGTAAGGACCAGAATGGAAAACAAATTGTGACACCCTTCTGTGGCTGGCCACCCTGACCAGTGGGGCCTCTTTCCACCACTGCCCCTTCCTGTACTTTCCACATTCACATAGACATACTGGGCAGATGGCATCTCCTCTGCCTAGCAGCCAGAATCGCAGTGAAAACAAGATTCAGCTATGGAACAAGGAGGACCTTGCTCCCTTGAACCCCTTTGTATGATTGAGCAAGGGTTATGGCAGTCTAGTCCTAACACTAAATACTGTACTTCGAAAAGTGAAGACATTCTACAGCAATACAAAATTGTGCTCCTGTTGTACTAGTCCTGCTTGCTGAAGGTATTTCTTAAAATTTGATGTATTAGACACCAACAAAGGCCCAAAATAAATCACTAAGCCAGAAGGCTTTTCACTGGGCCAGTGTTCTTTGTTCTAGCTTCATTGTGAATTAAAGCTCAGCATGCTAGGATACAAAGTGTGTAGGTCTTCTTACTGTTGTCCCAGCTCTGAAAACTACTTTAAGTTTTATGGGTACAGCATACCTTGATGCAGCAGTCAGGAGATAAAAATGGATGCTTTGCAGGACACACTGAAATGTAAATGAACAGGAGTAAAGGAAAAAAAAACATATCTAAGTTCTTACCTTTTTAAATTTTCATTATTTCCCATCCAAGCTGACTGTTTTTGTTTAATCTTGCCATTCCTTTTCTTCTTCATTGTGTGCTCTTGTTCTTAGGGATATGCAAACTTTATTAGTCAGCTCCGCTTTCAAGCTCTGTACGCTTTTGTGTTTGAGAATTGGGAATCAGGTACTTTTACAGTTAGCCTAAGGGGAGAGCTGGGCAGGAGGAGCCTTTATGAATAATCAGGGTTGACATCTCCAACGTTGTTCCTTCATTATAAATATTGTTAAAGGAGCTGTGACCACCATGGGCTCAAACAGAACAGAGCATGGAGGGGAAGAAAAAGACAGCCTTTGATATCCCCTCTTTACTAGTTATCACTCCATTGATGACACTGGCATTGACAGGTCTCTTAAATTTGGCTGCCTTTTTTTAGAAAGTTTTTCTTCTATTAGCATAATTATTCTGTCTGTGGAAGGCTGAATTCATCTTACAAATTGTAAAGGCTGGGAATGCTACTTAATGTTAGTGCGTGTAAATTTTCTTAAATGCTGCATGCCTGATGGAGACATAAAGTTGCCTGATTACATCAACCATTTTTCCTACCTCCATGTTCTGGATTTATTGAATGCCTTAACTGTCAGGTAATAAGTCTTTGTAGCAAATATATAATTTTGCTTCCTTTTCATGTGAATAAATGTTTCTTTAACATACAAGTTAACACAAGTGTTACACTTTGAGAGCACATAATTATAAGTTCACTTAATAACTATCTATTTACTTAAACTCTTCCAGAAATAGTAACATTTGTAGTAACAATAGTAACCTGTTGGCAAATTGAACCCTTTATTTTAAGTATTTTGGCTTTTTTTTTTCCTTTTAAGCCATCTACAATTTATTTTTGGTGTCATCACTGAACAACATAAAACTCGACATATCATTGAGGGAAATAATACAATGGATCGTTACTAATGTTTGGTAGAGGTTATTTTGTCTCTGATATAAATATTATTTTTATTAAGTGTCCCTGCTTACTAACAGATTGAAAAGGTGCAATTACAAATCAAATGATATCCCCAGAGCTGTCCCATTTTCAGAACATAATAAGGATCTTTGTTGTTTTATCTTAATGTGGCCAGGGTAATTACTTGTGCGTAGTATCTTAATAAGTGTATGCCTTTTTTTCTTTAGGTTACTGACCTCCAAGAGAAACTCATGCTAAAATATGTGAGCAGACTGGGTACTTGAGAGGTAAGGATGTGCCCCCAATACCTTCAAATATCAGGTCTTTGTCTATCTGGCATTTAGAATGCATTAAGCTGGGGGCGTGTTGCCTAAAGAAATTACCCAAAATGACCTCCTGGGGATGGCTCAAGCATTGTTTCAACAGCATTCAGCATCACTGCCAGAGCATGAAAGAGAAATCACAGAAACATGAGGAGCAAAAGAGATAAAAGGAAGAGAAATGAGGAGAGAAAACATGTTGTTTTTTAATTGACCTGAGGAGGGGGGCACAGGGATGATGACATGGCCTGAAGTTTTTTGTTTATGAGAACATGCTCCCAGTATTCCTACGTCTGCACCTTAAGCTTGGTGAGACAGGAAAAAGAAAAGACGGTGCCTTCCCTAGTATGTTTTTAGTTTGGTTATTGACCAGAAATGACTAGCTTAAAAATAGTCAAAGCATGGTACAATGTGTTAGTTTTATCTGCATGTCCCGAGTTTGCTTTGTTTCCTGATTTGGCATTTCCTAATTATGGAAAAGACTGTAAGCCTTGTCACTGGGTTGGTGGGAGCCCTGTACTGTACCTCACAAGGCAGAATGTGCTGGTACCTCTGAATAGAATAGACTTTTTTTCTAACATCTCTTAAGTAAATTATTTGCACTAGTCAGTGAAGTATGAATAAGTGAGAGTGGGCTTAGGTTCTAATTTAGGAAAAATAGGGTAAATATGAGGAAAAAGTTAAGATGTGGATTAGAGAAAATTAAGCTATAGAACAGTGATGCTCAACCAGTGTGTCACAGCACCCTGGGATATCATGAGATCCTTTTTAAGTTGCCATGGTATGCTATGTAACTAACACTGTTATATGTGAAAACATCTACACATGATTCAGAAAATAAACCCACAGATTTCAAATAGGAATCCATAGGGTCAAAAACATTCTCACCTGTTATGGTCTTTCTGAGTTCTTGGAAGAAGATTCCTCAATTATTTTTCTATAGATAAAAAAAAAAAAAAGTGAACCTCAGAGGGGTGACTTGAGTTTAATAAAGGGTGCCTTGAGTCTAGAAAAGCTTGAGAACCACTGCTGTGAAGTTTGGAAGAGAAAAGTTGCCTAAATAGATTGGTAATGAACAATAGATTATTATTTATTATTGGAGTGTTGTCAGATGATTAGCCCTTCCTATGATTCAGTGAATAGACTGGATCACCTGATACTGGTCCCTGCCAACCTAAGTAAGCCTGCCATTTTTATGGGCCTTCACTGCAGATCAGTAGTGGTGCACAGACGTATGTTTATCAAATGTTTTCCTTCCTTCTTGACAAGTACTTGAGTCACAACTTTAAAATGATCTTTTAGGCCAGGGACAGAAGTTACACATAAACCAGTTTAAGTGATTGGAAACTAGTTAAAACCTGTAACAGAACAGAAGTTCAGTCCACATAAACTGCTTTCAAAAGGGCCAAAACTGGTTTAAGATAAAACCTGGTTGGATGTAGTATCAGACTTAACTGTTTTAGGCCAAACCAGTTTATGGAACTTCTGGCCCAGACCTCTTCCTGGTTCAAGTTAACTCACAGTCCTGCAGCATCCCAGGAAGCTTTGCAGCCCTGGGCTGTGCTGTATGCTCCAGGGGAGCAGGGACTGCCCTTCTCCTCTGCTTCTCCTGCCTGCATCTGTCAGCCCATTGGGACAGGGAGCAGGGGAACAGACATCCTTACCCTGGGTCTACACAGGGTGCAGGGGAAGGGACTTTTCACCCCTTCACAGCCCTCCCCCTGCCAGGGGCAGCCTGAGGAGCCCAGGGGAATTCCCCACCTCCGTCTCCCCTGCACAGCTGCTTGCCTTAGCTTCTGCCACAGGAGGAGGGGGAAGGGGTTCCCAAGGCCCCAGGGGTGCAGACACCAAGGAGCCCCTCCTCAAGGTGCTTCCTCCACCCTGACCCGGGTCCCACAGCTGGACGCAGCCCTGAGGAGCTGAGGGGAATTCTCCCCCGTCCTCTTCCAAGCTGCTGATTGCCGCAGGAGGGAGGGAGAAGCTGTCCTCTGGCCTGGGTGCCCATCTATGCAGCCCAGCATGGGGGCACCAGGGAGCTGTGCCTTGAAGGGCTTCCCTTCACCCCAGCCCAGGGAAGCTCCAGAGAGCTGAAGGGAACTCTTCCCCTCCGGGACCCCTCAGCTTGCCCTAGTCCCTGTGAGTCTCAGGGAGAGCTTGGGGCAGCCTCAGGGAGTGGAAGGAAAAGCCCCTGCTCCTCTGCAGCTGCTTTTGCCTCAGACTCACAGCAGCTGTGGAAAAAGCAGCTGAGAGAGTTTCCCTCCATTCCCTGAGGCTTCCCCAGCTATCCCTGGGCTGAGATGAGCAGCTGTGGGGGTCAGGAGGGGAAGAATACCCCTCAGCTCCCCAGGACTGCTGGGGTAGGAGGGAGCCCCCAAAGGCAGGGGCTCCTAGTTCCCCCATGTTGGGCTGCATAGGCAGGCACCCAGCCTGGAGGACTTTTCCCTCCCTCCTGTGGTAGCAGCTGGGAAGGGCGGGGCAATTCCCCTCAGCTCCCCCGGGGCTGGGGGAAACCCCCTGAGGCAGAGGCTCCCCCGGGTGAGCCAGCACCTCAACCCTCTGTGTGGGGACAGCAGGGGGTTGGGGGCATGTACTGGGCAGCCGATTGGGACTGGTCCCACTTGGTGGGCTGGCAATGGCCGGTAGGCTGGGAGACATGTGCTAGCACCCCCTGCCTAGTGCCTACTGGCCTGGGTCAGTGCAGGCCTCCCTCTGCCTTTCCCAATTGAAAACTGAATGTCAGTTCAGTAGATTTTCGGTTCAGTCTATGCAGCTTAGAGGAAGCTGCATAGATTGACTCAATTCTGCCTCAGGCTTTTTGACTTATTGTACTTAGCCTTGATATACATGGACACAGCTCTGTCAATGTTTCATACTGCACCCGCTTACACAAGCAGAGAAACTGGGCCCAGTGGGGTTAATAGCTATTGTTTGCTGTTCCAGTTCATTAAATATTTCCCAGCAAATTGATTTTTCCTTTCATGGGGTATATTTAACAAAGATTCCCAGGTGAGAAAAGTTGAACTTGCTTCTACAGAACTGGTTGCTATATCATCCTTTTGATGTGCAGAGTAAATGTTATGAGTGTCCCATAAGCAGGATTTGTCTAGTAATATTTTATTGGACCTACTCTACAGTACAGAGAGAGGTTAGACAATCTTTTTTTACTCAAAATGCCTTTACTCAAGCCTTGGAAAGAAGGAGATACCTCCTAAGCTAAATACCAGATGAACAACGTGAGCTGTATTTCTTTCTTCCTACCTTGTCTAACCTCCCTCCCAGCCTAGAGTCGGTCCAATAAGACATATTACCAAACAAGCTGTCATTCTTCTATATCCCAAGGACCATTACAGTGACAAGAACACCACAGCACATGAGGGTTTTGGATCATACATTTCAGTTTTGTGTGTTGCGGTGTGGCGTGCATTGGTCTAATTCTCTGTTAGCTTGCAACTGGCAATACAAAATTAAAGTAAGCTGCTACCAGATCAGAATGGCTGTGCTCTCTATGCCTACTTTGCCTTGGTGTGAACAATTATCCAATTTTCAAAACAATGTAAAATCAAATCCACAGGGAGGCTGCTGCAAGCCAGTCAGATCTGCTAAATCTGCATGGAGAGGGTGGATCCTGTTTTAAAAAAAAGAGTATCAGGTTTCTTTCAAAACAATGTTCTAGCACCTGTACTGTTCCAGATGACTTTCCAAGTGCTGTATGTCACATTTCTCGTTTCTTCCTATTTTGCTTCCATTTTTCTTGAGCCTTCACCCCAAAACTAATGAACAAATAGAGGAACTGAGAAGGATGTTCAGTATCTTTTTCTCTCTCTTTCTGCAGTTTTTTATTTCTATAGGGTTCTGTGTAGAGGGGTAGTGCTTATTAGAGGCCAATTTCTTACTGATCCAATTAGATCAGTAGGACTGATAAATAATTTGCTTTAATTCTTTAACTTTGTGCTTGTTATAATACATTTTAATACCTCTGTACCTCAGTACTTGTGTGTCCAAGAAACCTTCAATATACATTAGCATATAATAAAAATGCTTTGGAATATACATTGTGCAAACAGATTATAGATACATAATTATAGACTGCTGACTCAGAACTCTTCTTATCTAAATAGTGTTTAGATAAACATCAAGATTGAATTGTTATACCAGGAAATAGCAAAAGTTTTAGAGAAAGATACATCTTTCCTTTCACAATGAATCATTCAAGGAATTCAGCAGGCAGCCTGATGATGTGATTATATGTCTTGGCTTCATGGGTTAGGTTCAGAATCTGCATATTCTAAAGCTTTATTAAAATCTCTTGGGGGATTCTTCATGTGTAAAAGAAAATTTCTGGGATTTGCACCCTAATGAAAAAGGCATTCCCGATCCTCTGTTTAGCATGTCTGCAATTGTTCATTTTTTGAGGCTGAATCCTTTTCATCAGGAAATCACCTGCTCCCGTGAGTTTTGGACCAGGCAGTGTCTTCCAAATAGGAGAGGGTGAAGTTTTTTTCCCTTTTCCCAGAATGTTTTTAATCTCTTTTGTAAACTAGTACCCAAGGTTTGTACCTCATGATGTTAAGGCATAATTTGGTGTGCAAAGCTTATATAAAATGGGGTCAAATATTGGGCTTTTGTCCTACTATCTTGTTTTCATTTACTGGCTTGAAATGTTTGCACGATCCTCTTCATTTATAAAACAGGGCACTGTGACTAAGGGACTTGTTATAACGTTGCTTGATAAACCTTTGTAAAGCAATGTGCTGTTGCAAGTAATGGGCTCCATTCATTATTAGCCCAGTTGATTTTCATTTACACTTGGCTCTAACAATTAGCTTGAGCAGGTGTGAAGGTGATGGAGGGGCTGGGACGCACAGAGGTCAGCCACTGCTCTATGTGATAAATTAACCATTATTATCAGCAGTGAAAGTGGCTCTTTACGCTTGTCAGCGGCAAACAAAGGGACAACATATCTCACATAAAGTGGAGTCAGGGCCAGGACTGCAAATGTGATGTGATTGCTTCGTTTTGTCTGGTTAAATAAAGGCAGACTCTTCTGTTGAGATGTCACACCTGTGCACCTCCCATCGCACAGGTAAAAATAAATCCTTACTTGGAGAAGAAAACCCTGAGCTACAAAACATATTTTAATATATGAACAGAAAAAAGCCCCTTTAATCTGAATTATAACCATTCCGAAATATAGTCCACGCCTATTTGAAGCGTGAGGGTAAATTCTTAAAAAAAACTGATCTATGATCATTTTGGTCTGGTGAACTCTGAATTCCTTGTACTGTTTGTGTTGATTTGATTTTCACTTTATCCATTTTATAAAATATCTACAACCTTTCTGTACTGTGTGGAGCAGTCCACTAGCAATTTACCTCAGATTATCTGCAAATTACATATAATCTGTTTAGAGGCGGCCCAAGAGAGTTGAAAGGCCCAAGAAAATCTAAAAGCATGGAGTTCTGCATCATGTGCACTACACCTGCCCCAGTAGTACTATCTTAACTCTATGTGCCTTTCCTTTGTTTCAGACAGGAGAAGGAATGTAACAAAGGAAGCCATACTGCCTGGTTTGGGATGAGTGCAAGCACAAGTATATCACGGTTGCTCTAAAAGCATTGGGTAAGTTATTTAACAGGAGTATGCTTGTGAAAAAGCAAGCAAGCTAAAAAGGATGGGTGGGGGGTGTCCCTGTGTGCCACATGGTTGTTAGAGAAGAATGCAAAAGGAAGGGAAGGTAAGTCAGAAGGGCATGATATGTCTCCTCATTTCCACTTAAAGCAGGTAAAGGCCATGGAGATCCATGCATGCCTAATTTTGATCTGCTTGGTGTTTTGGAATTTAAGGTATTTGTGTACCATGGAGGCAGAATGTCTTGGCCTGGAGAGCCCTGAGCGCTAGGGCTGTGCGAAATGGCACCATTTCATTTCGACTTGCGTTTCGATGGAACAGTATTTCATTTTGAATTTCATTTTTATTCAAAACCACTGTTCCATTTTGTTTCAGCAAAACAGTTTCGCTCTTTTGACACTGTTTTGATGTTTTGCCCATAGGCTATAACGGGGAAGCTTGAAATAGTCTGTAATCATTTCTGGCCTGATTTGGATGAACGTTGCAGGAATGGTAGCCCCTTCTGAGGGCATGAAGCCTGCCAGGCTTCAAGGAGATAGGTACAGGGGTTTCAGGGAAACTGCATCTCAAATCTTGAAAGAAAACAACTCGTGTCACGTGTGTGTGTTAAGCCACAGCAGGGTCAAAGCTGCAGGCACACTAGCCCCTGCTGAGGCAATGCAGCCTGCCAAGTTTCAAGGAGATAGGTGCAGGCGTTTGAGGGAAACTGCACCTCAGGATGTGGACAAGCAAAACTCATGACATGGGTGCTTGTGGGATTGTGTCTGTCTTGGGGCACGGGGGGAGGGGAAAACCACAGACCTGCTAGGCCCTGCTGTGGCCACGAAGCCTGCCAGCTGTAAAGGAGATAAGTGAAGGGGGAATCTGGGTTCTGGGGCCCTGCACCTCTAGCTGCCGACTGTCAAAACTCATGGGGTGGTTGCGTGACACCATGTGTGTGTTAAGGTGCATCCTCACTCAACTGACACCAAGGCAGAAAGCAGGGCAGTTCAAACAATGCTGCCTTTTATGCAGTTTTTCCATCCCTCCCCTGTTTTGAAGCTCTCTGTTTCATTTTGATTTCGCTCTTTTGAACTTGACCTAACTGGGATTAGGTTTTCATAGATTCATAGATGTTAGGGTTAGAAGGGACCTCAATAGATCATCAAGTCTGACCCCCTGCATAGGCAGGAAAGAGTGCTGGGTTCAGATGACTCCAGCCAGATGCCCATCCACCCTCCTCATGAAGACCCCCAGGGTAGGGGAGAGCACCACCTCCCTTGGGAGCCCATTCCAGACCTTGGCCACTCTAACTGTGAAGAAGTTCTTCCTAATGTCCAGTCTAAATCTGCTCTCTCCTAGCTTATGGCCATTATTTCTTGTAACCCACAG